ATATATATATATATATATATTCACTAAGCACCTTTTACGGATGGAGATAGAAATAGGATGTGTGATGTGATAACCAATGATACAACTTTGAACGCTCGACTTCAAGTCAGCTTATACTATTTTATTATAATAAAAAATTATCAAGATCGATTACTATGCTAAGTTCACGTCAAAAATGAATTTACGGAATAACATTGCTCAATTAGTAGTAACATTTGGAAACTATAATGAATAAAGATAATTTATAATATGCAATGAGGTTGATGCTCAGACAAATTCCGGCCCACAGTTCACATGGGTAGAAAAGCTAGATGGCAGCAGCTGGCAGTCGGACTAAATTCGTGAACTTCTCACGATCGCAGTCACGACTGCTCGTGTTAATGTGTGTGTAACATAATTTGGTGCTTTGGAGCTGTCACCCTATTAGTGCCAGCTCGCAGCTGCAGTGCCGTACCACTCCCCATCCTCACGCCTCTTAACCAAATCCCCATCCTATATTAAATTGATAATACTTGATCTCATCGATGCGCGTTATTATTTTCCCTTTCTGTCATAAAGTTCAAAATAAAATTAAAAATAAAAACATTGCATATAATAACACAGTCATTTATTCTCTATTTTTCAAAAAAAGAATTGATATTAATAACAGAGTAATTACATCGATCACAGAGAGAAGAGACCGACGCCCGCCCCGGCCACCACGCCGCCGCTGCTTTCGTCGATACCCGCGTGGACGTGGCGGAACCTGACAGCTCAAGTGCGAACATCCGGCTGAGAGACGCCCAGCTTCCGGTTGCGCGCCGCCGCCTTCAGCCCCCGGTTGCTGTGGATCGCCGACACCCTCTCAGCCCCGGAAACCGCTACGGTGCGGTAAAAGAATCCGACAAGAGAAGCAAAGAATTCGTCGTCAAGACAACAGAAATCGATGAATCGAAGGAGACCCGCGGTGCTTGATTTCGCAGTATGTACCTTTGGTGTCATGTCGCAGGATGCCGCTGGCGCCGAAGGCCTCCAAATCTGCGGAAAAAGAAGACCAGGTATATTGTATGTTAGAAGAGAAGGGAACAAAGAAGAGCTGAGTGACCGAGGGAGCCGATCGGTTTACTACCTGCAGGGGAAGGGTCATGGGAGAAGAGGAAGAGGACGAGGAGGCAGAGGATCGTGAGAATGGGGATGAGGTGGATGGACCTATCCGCTCTCAGGCTCCATCGGATCTGCTTCTCTGCTTTCATATCCTCCTCCGGCTGCTGCTCCATTCTCCCGGCGGCACCTCCGCTGGAGAGTCGGGTCTTGGAGCCCGGCGATCCCAACGACTGGCGCTGCATCCTTCCTTCCTTCCTTTGTCGGCAAAGAGAGAGAGCTGAGCGAGCGAGCGAGGAGGAGAGAGAAGAAGATAAGCGAAGGGAGATGAGATGAGATGAGAGACCTTTGTCTCCGTGTGCCAGACCACGAGAGAGATTTTAACTCTTAAAGTTTAATTCAATTAATTAATTAATTTCATCCTAATGGTAAGTTACTATTTTTGGTGTCGGTGGGCGGGCAGAGGGACGGTGGTGATCGAGGCTCGTGGGCATCACACCAATTGGATTCTTTGCGTCTCCTATCCGTCAACGACATTAGCGTCTCATTTTTGCCTCGCGGGACACACCATCGAGCCCCTTGCAAGAGTGGGGTTGCCGGCGGAAGGCTGAAACCGGGTAGAAAAAGCCACTTTTTCTACTCCACGGAATATATCTGACCGTTGGAGAGAGCTTGTTACCGTTGGGAGGCACTGTGGAAGCGAGGTGACGACCGCCGATATCCATGTCATTGCTTGCACCGTAATTGACGATTGATTGCATGTAGTCTAATATAAACCATCAATCGTAAATGCAGTGCCCCGCTGTGTAGTTGAAGTGTCAAAATCATCCAATACTTCCATGTTTGTCTCCATATTGATGTGTTCAAAGATGGTGGTTATTGACTGTCTATCCCTAGTGGGTTTAGTAATTATCCATATTCCTTTATAAAATATAAAATATTACAT